ACTTGACGACCGCGTATACTTGCGTGAGTGTGTTTGGTCGCAACAACGGGAGAAAATATATTATCGATATTAGATACTCAATACAATACAAGAGGTCCTTATTTATAGCTATAATCTACAAGGACATATAGCTATCCTTCTCCCTTTGGTTCGATTCCCCTGAAATCCAGCTACCTAGTTGAATTGGGGCTAGATTTTGCGTCACCCCTGAAGCTAGAGTAATCTGCCTTACAGATCTTGCCTTTGGGGAAGCTTCCTCCACCATCTGACTTTTAGATTTCGACTGGTCTTCATGTTCCACTGAAACTTCCACTTGTGTATTTCGTTCCTCTATCTCCTGATTAGGGCTTTGTGAATGGGTTGATTGTAGGGTGGGAACTTTGGTAGTGATAGTTGGGGTATAGACTTGAGGGGGTCTCCGTTTCCGGCGAGCCATCGTAGTGGCGCAAGTTAGCAATTCTGGCTTAACATGCACCTTTGACGTTTATATATTCTTAATAAATGCTTCTTTGCATATTCTCAAATGGAATCCTGCTCAGCTAATAGCTTTAATACAGTTATACAGACCTAGCGAAAGTAAATGCTCCTCAGACCTTTAGTAACAACCCCTCTAACCAATCCGAAATGGAAGGAAGAATATATAGTACTAAAACATTTACAAAAAACTCCAATTCCTAGACATTAAAGCATATAAGAGTAAACCATATACCTGGATATTTACACGTATTCAATTTCGACATTCATCCTCATGCAGTGCTAAAGATTTTGCACAGTCTGTATTGCACGCTTAAGAAGAGACCTATACTCTTGACTTCTCGACCATTCATCAATCTCGCGTGCACGTAAAACGGGGAGTGGATGTGAAAGTTGCCTTGTTTGAGCATTTCTGAAAAGAAAGCAGGTTGAAGAACTTAAAAAGAATGTAAGAAAATAAGAAAATTGCAAGCCGAACTATCTCAAGATACAAGACAGCTATATTACTATATATACCTAATATACCACCCAACTGGGCTTGAAGATGCTTTGTCATAAGAGCGAGCTTGCTCTAAGAATGCATCCACATTCAGTTGATCCGACAGAGATGGACAGCCGCCAGCTAATTTCATTAGTACTGAAACGACCACCTCTTGTGGGAGCATGGAAAAAAAGGAATATCATGGATAAGATTTTCTAATGTGGTTAATGCCCTAAAATGTGAATTTACTGTTTGGGTTTCCTCTACCTTTGGATCTTGAGCAACAAGAAGTGCTGCACGATCACAAGTGAGTTCTGCTGCTCGAAGCCAGCGGAAGAGCTGTTCTTCCAGCCTCTGAGCAATCAAACCACCAATACCTGTGGGTGGAAAAAGAATTCGAAATCATTTGTAACTGAAGCTCGTCTTTTTTTGCAGCTACTTAATTATAACCCCATATAACACATCCTAGCAGCTAAGAAACAATTGATTCACAGATAAAAGCTTTGCGCAACACTTACCTAAACTTACATAACTTTACATTTTAGTATATCTGATATAGTCCCCATTCGGGGACATCCGGTAAAATATACAAATTAATATGTAAAGAGATCAGTTCTCAACCCATTCATGTTGAAGCGCTTCTATAAGAATTATGTGATACGAATATAGTAATACTTGCTACTTCTAGCTGAAATTTAACTTGGTTAACTTACTAAAATAACCTATTTTATCTATTGTTTAACTTCTGTATCCTATCCCTTTTGAGTATTTATTAACCAGAAATGGATGGATTCTCTGTTGCTTTTGCAATTTTCTGTGTTATGCAAAGTAGAATGTAAGTCATACCAGGAACAGTATAGGCACCGAGAGTGAGAATATTTGCAAATGTCAACCACAAACCATGATCACATTTGAGATGACCTAACTCATGAGCCAAGACTGCCTGGAATTTAAAACAACAAAGGGCATAAAAGAGGCAAATCAAGCATATGCAACAAAAATTGTAAGTTGAAATAGAGAAGAAAATTAAGGAACTACAGAAGACAAAAGTGAAAGAATCACATCCTGAGCTTGAGAATTCGAGTTAGCTAAAAATGTTAGGATGATTTAATGCATGAAAAAGGAAAATAAGAAAGACAAATCGAAGTACATTAAGATTGTAAAATGATTCTTAAACCTGCCATAAGGATATACTAACAAAAGTCTCAAGCAATCTTAGAATCTTATGGTTCAACTGATACCTGCCTTTTCTTTGAAAATGCGTACAAGAACCACAAGAGTGGATACTAAAAGCAATGATTTGAAAGTTATTTTAGGAAAGAATCAAGACCTGCAATTCCTTTCGACTCAGCAGCTCCACAAGGCTTGTATGAATAACTACAAAAGGCTTTTTACCACTGACAGCCAGAGTATATGCATTGGGTACAGGACTTTGACGTACATATAAGTCAGGAGCCTCAATATTGAGTATTCTAGCAGCCTCAACCATTAAGCGATGAAGTTCAGGGAGCTGAAAGACATGCCAAATCAGTTAGATGAGAGAAAATTTCTCTGACCTCTTAATCTTTAATGGCAAAGTACGTTGGAACCAGCACAAGGTCCCAGTCCACATACTAATAAATGTAAGATGCTAGTTCATAGTAGTCAATGCAAGCTCAAAGAAGAACTCAGAGTTGCTGAATGTGATGATTAAAACAGGGAAATCTGAGTAGAGATAAACCTCTATGGAAGAACATTTTACTCCTCAAAGATGTATTCCGTTTCGTTATTAAGTATATGAACTGTTAAGCTGATGTAGTATGACTATCAGAACCTTTATAGAAAAACCAATTACAAGCATATGAAAATTAAAGAATAGTCTGCTCAGTAAACATAACTTGGAATGTCAATCAGTATATGAGAAGGCTTTAGAAACAAGTTATTGAGACCATCGACAAGGGGCCCCAATAGTAAGTTGACAACTTTATGTGATTTCAAGAGATGATCCTATTATACAAGTAAGCATCCACAGGGCACAAGAAGAAGTGCTATGAAAAGATCTGACAGCAGGAGGATTAAGTCATTATCACTTAAAGGTCCAAACTGAAAAATGAATGACCTGATTTTCAGAAACAAGAACTGATGTTCCTATGTTCTCCAGAAGCATAACTTGCTCCGAAACACTCCCTGCGATAACATCTTCAGATCAGACATACAGATTGACATCAACCATTTGTCACGAAAAGAAAAGGCAGTTTGTCTTAACATAAAAACTCATTATTACTTAAAGAGAACGCCCCAATTTCCACGCTATGTCAAGATGACAGGATAGTAAGGCACTTTTTTCCAGGTGAACTTGCAAGTAACCAAGTAATTGTCGTTATTTTCCTTCTCACCTTATTGGTTTATAGAGGTTATATAGAGTACCTGAAGGGTTCCTCATTGTTGCAGGGGCGGATCTATAGTATCCCTAACACTTCAAGCTTCTAACTGAGATGGTTTACAAAATTCAACAATTATCACATAAAGCAAGGATCTTGAGTAAAATTTTTGCAGGAGCGGATCTATAGTATTGGTTATGGGTTCACGTGAACCAAGTAGCTTTTGCCCAGACCATGTATATATATTAAGAAATTTATTAAATATCTATAAATATTTGACTGTGAAACCAATTATTATTATTATTATTATTATTATTATTATTATTATTATTATTATTATTATTATTATATAAATTAACTTGAGGTCGTTATAGAAATATGCCTTTGTTTCACCTTTACCCATCAAATGTTTCACCAACGTGGTCCAAAGCTTACATTTGACATTTTGTAGACTTAAAATAAATAAATATAAGTGGTATGTTTTAAGACAAGGCGATTTACATAACTTCAACAACCATGATTCGTAAACAAAAGCACTTACCAAGTAAGGCTTTTCCAATGTCGTTGAGACCAGGTATGGCTCTCAAAAGCAACGTATTCTGAGCAACATAAGAATTAAACATCAAAAGACCAAAATCAACCTAACATTATGCAAAAATGTACTAATAAATTTGCTTCTTCCTTTTTTATAGGAAGACAGAGGCAGAAACAACTGTACCAATAACATAGTATGCATTTTACCTGTCTGTCAAGAGGATGTCTAAAATCATCGGCGTCCAAATCACGAAAAGTTACTGAAGCAGCTCGACGCACAAATGACCTCAACCTTTTTGGATTCGTCTCCAGCTGCTTAAATCCAACAGTGCAAAGTGAACTGATTGGAGGATTGTTAGAGGAAGAGTTAATGAAAAGAGATGACAAATTTAGTGGTGCCACTGCCATAGGAAGAGGAACGGAAGCCATTGGAGGTCCTGGATTTGTTAGCGTCTGAATTCTGCTCTCTCTAATCCCCAATCCTGAAATTCGTTTAATTAAAGTCGCCACACGCAATATTTGGTGGCTTTGTTTCTTTTTATGGAAGCGTAGTTTAGTTTCTGACCACAGCCGTACTCTTGGTAACTATTCCCCGCCATTTCATTGTCCCTTGACTTTGACTCTTGTTAAAAAAATATCAGCTGCTTAATTAAATATCTCCATTTATCTGTAATTACACAAAAAGGTAAACAAATTTTCTTAATATGAATTTTACTTTCCTTAACTCTTTAGTTTACCCTAATCTTTTTGTACAGTTTTTATTTAATTATATATTTATGTTATTCTTAAAGATATAAGTGGTACTAGTATAATTATGGGAAGAGATCACATAGAGTCATTTATCTCCGATGAAATTTGAACTGACTTCACGATTCTCCATTCACTTCATACACTAATATGACATACCCTTGTCGCCTTTTATACATTTATCTCGACAATTAGACCAAGGTTCTTTGAAGTTGATACTTGTTTTCTCCAATTCAAATTGAATGTAAGCCTTCCTAATATGTTATGAAACAAAACTATTGTCCACTTCTAAATTATCTGTTACTGTTTGTTGCAAGTCACTGGCAAAACCCTGCTACACCGTTTATGCATCATGCAAAGGTAAGATAATAATCCCCCACATCCATAAATTTATTTGTTCTTTTTAAAAAGGGATTGGCATGTTATCTTCTACTTTCAGATGACCAATTTCTCCTACCGAGCCAGAAGTTGTAATTGAGAAACTTTTTAGCCCAACTGCCGTTCACCATCAATTCAATACTCTTGAGCTTGGCAGAACAAACTCGATCGGGCAAAAACAATTGCAGCCAGCAAAGACAGAGATACATGAAGTTCAGAATTCACTGCACAATTGGATTACGCAGAGTTACATGCAGAAGTAGAAATGCATACGATCTTTACTCATTACACAATCATAATTACTTCTCAAGCTTACTACAAGATTTGTGAAGCTACTTTGCAAACATCTCCACAGAGAACCACTACACTTATTTGGCTACAAAAGCCAATCCTACGACTAAGTCCCTTCAGATTTACCACCCAAGCTTGCGCTTTGGAAAATCTGCGGAAAGCACACGACTGACAAGCACAACACAACCTATAACATTCACATACACTGCTACAATTTGTTTATGCCAATTAGTCCATTACTTCAGCAAGCCTAGACACCAGCTTTTTCGCATTACTTCAGCAAACCTAGACATCAGCTTTTTCGCAGAGGTCTAGCAAGTCCAAAGTCTGTGCATAACAAGTAAGATTTTAGATAACAAATTTTCAACCTTATAATAACTGGTACGTGTGGGGGAAACAATCCATGACAACATTTATCATATTACCTCAGGTATGGAGAGCTCAAGACGGAACTTGGGACCATCATAGTGATGCAAAACTGGTCTAAAAGCATCTTCCTCCAAAGGCTTACAGATTTTCCTAACACGGGTCCTCACCTAAGTGTAAATGCATGAAACTCAAAAATCAATACAGATGCATCAAATACCTATAGAAAAAAAATGAATTGTTTTTTCATTTTTTTAAAAATTAAATAAATTGTGGATTCATATCTTTACCTGAGCAGGGAATCTTGATTCTCCTTTGCACTTTTTATCTTCCCAAGCTGTTGGATCAATGTTAGAACCTCCAAAACTTGCTGCCTGTTCAGAAAATTGGTAAAGAAATGGTTAAAGAAGAGATTTTATGCTTTGAATGAAGCATGCAACAGAGAACTAGTATAGCTCATTTTTGACAGGTATAAAATAAGAAGCCAGCAATACAATAAGACCCCTCACCAAGTAAACTGCAAACAGAAATTCCTCTGTTTTTTTTTGTGTGTGTGTTTGTGTGTGTGTGTGTGTTGGG